TGACCTGGACAGGCCAGCTTTGGAGGCAAGAAGTGGAGCATATATTGTGATCTAAGATTCTTCCCTAATGGCTCTTAACCAATCAACTCTTACCATCACAAGAAAGGGAAGAGCTGTCACTTCTGCTCCATTCATACATATTTTTGTTGGGGATCAGAAAATATACCCTGAGACATGGTGACTCGTTATGCTGAGTCCTTCGAACTAAAAGAGATTGAAAAACCCAGGAACAGGCTGAGTACCAAAGTCTCTCTGACTCTCCCTCTTCTTCCCTTACATTTTCTTTTTGGAAGAGTGGGGTGAGCCTTTCTCTGAAGTTCCTTACATGATGCAGGGAAGTGCTTCCAGGAGTGTACCTGTCTTGAGTCCCCACCATATATGGATTTTTCTGTATCTCACTACGTAGAGAAAAATTCTCAAGAAAGGCTAAAGATCATACCATTTCTTCTTCTGAGGAATGCTACTAAGAGACCATATGTTCTTACGAAGATAATTTGTTTGCTATTTATTATCTCCTCTTGTGTTTTCTTAACCTGTGGTAACCTCTGCCCAGAAACCTCAACCTTCTGAACCTCAGAACACTATATAAACTTCAGCCACTGGGGCTTTCTTTGAGACTCCTGATTTGTTTGGCTCCTGGTACAAAGACACATGATAAATTCGTATATCTCTTTTTCTGTCATTCTAGCATCAGTCTATTTCAGAGTCTCAAACATTGAACCTTCAGAATGTAGCAGAACAAATCTCTTTTTTCTGATACATTCTATAAATATCACTGAGTACCCACCATGTGCCAGGAACACACCATGTACCAGGTACTGTGGACTGGGGACAATGACATGATGAAGACAGACTGGTTTGCTTCAGCAACAGCAAGCTTTGGTTACTGGTCCACTCAAGACAACTCCACCCCTCTGCAGCCATTTGCAATCAGGTCCTCAAGGACCAACCTCCACCATGCCAGGAAGTCTGACTTTTTCTTTCAGACAAACACCTCCCTTGGGAAGGTGGTCCATGCTGTGTTTATCCTTGGGCTACAGCATAATCCTAACAAAGCCTCTTTAGGATGGCATTTTTGCTTATTCATGATTTCTGTCTTTCTATCCAGAGTAGAAGAGGCTGAGCTGGTAAAGACTGCTGGCATCAAGACAGGTCAGGATCCAGAGCTGGTTACATGCAAGCTAGCTGGCAGCACAGAATGATGCAAGATGGTGGAGAATTGTCAAGAACAGCCATTAGAAGTGTTTCTGAGGTTGCTAATAACTGCTGGTTCTGGCTGCCAGTATAGTGGTGGAGGATGGCATGGAAAACTTGGGGTTGTTTACACTAAAAGAGATGTACTAATGTCTGGTTGTTATTTCTACACAAACTGAGCAAAAGAACCCTCAGCGTATTGGTAATGCTGCTGCTTCTAGTTTAAGAAGACAGAGTTAAGTAATGTGACCAGAGAAGAAACATCAAAGGCTAGACACAGAGGACCAGGATCTTAGAGCAAGGACGTAACCAACCTAGGTCCTAAGGGAGGCTTCTCTGAAAAGCAAAGGATGAGCAGAAGGTGGCCAGCCCGGGGTTGGGGAGGAGAGTGAGCATACAGTGGGAAGCAGGTCAAACTGGCATTTAGGAGATTCCCTTTTCTCTTTGTGGCTATCCTCTGCAGTATGACTTGCCCTCCGTACAAATGAAGCACACTACAACCTCTGTAGGATTTTCTGTAGCTTATTCTCCAGCTTTGTTTAGGGTGACCTTAGGAAGATGGAAGGACATGGCGGGTCAGGGGGCAATTTAAAGCCTAACTACAGGCTTAGAGTGTTCTTACACACAGCTGTGAGCCTATCATGAAATTACTGCTTTTCCTGTTGGGACTGGGGATGTGGCTCAGTGGTAGAGCATTTGCCTTGCAAGGTCCTGGATTTATCCTCATCTGAAAAAAAATTACTATGTGCATTGCTTTTCACCACGATGTTAGGGAGCACGGGAGAGCTGGGATAGAGTGGGACGGAGTATGGTTTCCCTCTGTCTGTATACTCACCCCAGCTTGGATGTTCTCTCGGAGGGATGGAGGAAGTAAAGTGGAGGTTTGTTTACAAGCCAAAGGCTATTTTGGATTTAGGAGAAACACCCCACTCCTGTTGCACAATTCAGCTTCAACTCCTGTTCCAGGCGACTTTGCCTACAGCCCTTCCTGTTTCGTGCTTCTGTGGAGGCCTGCAGGGATAAAGAATGGACAGGACTGCGAGGTCTCCTCGCCAAGGATGAAAATCATGTGGTCACTCAGTTGCAGAGCTAGGATTTGAATCCACGTCTCTAATACAACCTACATGCCAGACTATTTTTTTTTTTTCATGCTAGACTCTTATCTGAGGGCCTTCACAATACTGCACAGCCCCACTTTTTAAAATATAGGGTCTTCACATCGAGCTACACACCCACCTCTTTTAAAAATATTGTTTTTATTTTGAAATAGGTTCTTTTGAAGTCCCTAAGTTGAACTCGAAATCCTCTTCCCTCAGCCTCTCAGGGTGGGGAATGACAGGTGTACGCCACCATCCCTGGCTTGCCCACACTTTTTATACACATGATATCATCTGGTACTCTTAGCCAGTCTGTGAGTTAGGCAGGATTAAGATCCTTATTTTGCAGATAAGAAAACCAGAGCTCAGTGGAGGTCACTGAGCCCAGCGCCCCAGAGCCACAAAGTAAGACATTCTGACTCAAAATTCAAAGTGTTTCCTATTGTGCCCTGTGGTTACACAGCTCGCAGTCTCGAAGGTTGCTGATTAGCCACCTGAGAACAGTTTGGAATGTAGATAATGATTAGAGGAGAGGGCTTGCACGAAGTAAATTAACCGTGCCTGAGCATTCCTGCCAGTGTTCCAGCATCAAAGTTGAAAATCAAAATCAAAATGAGCAAGTAGCTGGCCTTGCCCCACTAATCCATCCATGCAAATTGCCATCTGATCCTTAAGTCAGCAGTTCATGTGGACAAACCTGTTCTCTATCTTCCAATCTACACTTCAGAGGCACATTTCTGTTTTCTGCCGGGACTCTGACACTTGCTTTTGGTTCTCATTAAATATATGTAACAGTCATCTGTAGGCTGTTCTGACTCAGGCCATCGCTCTTCATTTTCCCTTGGGGATTAGATATGTCTTTGCTACTGGTCCCAGGAGGCCCTGGCAGTGATTTGATGATCCTGACCTGGTTCGATGATACTGACCAGATGGGGCTGGTCTAGATGGGCAGTAGGAGGTAGCAGTGGTTCAGGGTCTTGGGAGGGAAAATTGTGGTTCTGTAATTATGTCAAGGTGGCCCAAATGACTTGATTAGAGGGGCGAGAGGAGGCGGGGGACTGTGGAACCTGAGGTGTAGGACCGCAGCGAGACTGGCCAGGGGTAGAGAAGGGTGGTGGGATGCTGGACTGTGGGAAGGGGAGGCAATGTTGTCTCTGTTAGTTCATTTTCTGTTGCCCTAAGATTATCTGAGACTGGGTGATTTATAAAGAACCTAGGCTTTGGCTCACGGTTCTGAAGGCTGGGAAGTCCCAAAACATGGTATCAACATCTGCTTATTGTCTGACGAAGGCCTCACATTGTTTCAACTCATGTCAGAGGACAGCTGAAGGGCAAGCAGGTGTTTCAGAACAGACAAAAAACAGAGGTGGCTTGCTCTTGGGACAACAAAGTCACTCAGGTGAGAAAGGCATTAGTTCTCAGTGACCCACTAACCTCTTAAATGCTCCAACTGGCTGCACTGCCACAGTGGTAATCAAATTCAAAGCATAGTGCTACCTTTCAGCAGATAGGCAATGGGATGCTGGGGTTCTGTCAAGCTGACCAGAAGTCCAGTGGACAATAGGGTCAAGCTACTGTGGTTTGTTGAGGAGAAGGTGGAGGAGCCCGGCGGACTTGGACTCTCTGATCTACAGATGTAGTTTCTCCTTCAGCCCCATTCTGTCTTCACTCATACAAATAACCAGAATCTGTGAGAAGAGCACAGAGATATAAAACGGAATAGGGGAGACTGCAGTATCCTATATCACCAGCCTGCTCCCTCAACCTCCGAAGAAAAGGATGTTCTTCGAGTGTGCCTGAGCAGTTCCAACCATAGAAGTTTTATCTCCTTGCGGTTCAGAGAGTTCAGGGAGTCTGGCTCTTGGAGCTGATGTTAAAGGGAGTCCTCCCTCCTCTTTGGGTGCCTGCCCCCTCCTGCTACCAGTCACAACATATATTGTTACATCTTTGGCGTGGGCAGGCAGCCTGGGCTGCAAGCTGAAGGGAGGAACTGGTAAATATGCCCATTGACTGCTGAGGTGGGGAGGCTGAGTGCTTGGTAACCTTGGAGGGATCACGAGCAAGCCAGTGCACTGGGGCCCCGGGCCGTGCTTAGCTATTCATGCGTGCAACGACCTATTTTATAACTGTAATTGTACAGGTGTGTCAAGTTCCTTGTCAGCCATGCCTTCGTGTTTTACTGCCTCTGTGCAGCACATATGCTCGGAGACAGGGGTAGGTTAGCTTGAACAAGGGTAGTTTTTTGGCTGCGGCCACATCGAATACGTTTCTGTGTCCAAAGGAGTTGAAACTGAGTTTCACAAGGGGGAAGGGCGTTGTGCCTGAAGCAGGTTTCTGGCTTTCAGCTCTGCAGCCCCAGCCCAGGTGTGTGTGAAGCCAGGACTGGGAGCTTTGGTGGTCAGGCTGGATAGGGGGCTGGGCAGCCAGGAAAGGCGACCGACCCAAGTTTAGAACGACGTGGGCACGACCCCGTGGAGGATGCAACTAACTCCAGGGAGCAAAACAGTGAGCCCCGCGTAATTCTTAATCGTGCAAGAAGAACGCGGTGGGCGCGCCCGGGAGCCGGACGCACGCTCGCCAGCGCTCCAGGCCTCGACTTCCCCATATCTGCGTGGGAGGGGCCGGAGTCCTCACCGAGGCTGCAGAGCGAGAAAGTGCGCGAAGGAGACGCGCTGCGAGCGCACACGTGACAGCGCTGCGCCGGGCCGAGAGGGACCTGGCGGCGGCGGCGGGGACGGCCCGCAGCGGCGCGGCGACCCGGAGCCCCGGGAGCGGGAGCGCGAGCGGCGCGCGCGGCCCCGGCCGGCGCTCTCCCGGCCTCGCGCTGCACATTCTCTCCTGGCGGCGGCGCCACCTGCAGTAGCGTTCGCCCGAACATGGCGACACGGAGCAGCAGGAGGGAGTCGCGACTCCCTTTCCTCTTCACCCTGCTGGCGCTGCTGCCGCCCCGGGCTCTCTGCGCGGACTGGACTCCGAGGCTGCACGGCGGCCGCGCGCCTCTGCCCCAGGACCGGGGCGTCCTCGTGGTGCAGGGCGACCCGCGCGAGCTGCGGCTGTGGGCGCGCGGCGATGCCAGGGGGGCGAGCCCGGCGGAGCAGAAGCCGCTCCGGACGCGACGGAGCGCTGCCCTGCAGCCCCAGCCCATCAAGGTGTACGGACAGGTGAGCAGGCTGCTGCTGCGCGCCTCCTTCCAGCCCTTTCCTCCCCTCGCACTTCCTCACCCCCGCATCCATCCTTTGCAGGCGTCTCCCAGGTGCGGGCACCTCCGGGGACTTCCCGGCTTGCATTTGTTTTTCTTCCCCCCTCACATGAGTACAACCGTCAGCACTCCATCGAGGTGTTCTTTCCTTCTTCCCGTCCGTCTTAGCGAACCTAGTCCAGGTAACTCGCCAGGTGCGGTGCATATTTCCCCAGGGTGTGTGCAGACCCGCGTAGTTTCGGCAGGTATAAGAGGGTCCAGCCTGGTTTTTATCGCTGGATAAAACAAGGGCTTTCTTCAGGGAATCATCAGTTGGCGGTGGAGGCTGGAGGCGAGCGCCCTGCGGTTGCAGTGCGCTTACACAGAACAGCAGGCGGAAGGGGTTCCACACGCCGTGCTGAACCCCAATAAAGGGGGGCAAACTCGGAAGACTGGCAACAGCCTAAGTGTAGTCAAAAGAAGAGTCTGTCTCGCTGTCTGCCTCTGTCTCGCTCTCTGTAAAGTGGAAGGGCTGAATTTTTTGTTTTTTATTTTTGTGGGGATGTGAGATTCGGTCCACCCCGCACCCTCCTAATGACTTTATTTGGGGCCAGAATATGCCTCGTGGTATTTGGGTATTTAAAAAGACTGCAAGAAATTTGGTAAGGATTATTATTCACTGCGTGATTTATTTCTATCCAGGCAATGGGTTTATTGGATCATAAGTAACATGAATTTTACTTTATGGCTAGACTGACTGCAAGGAATTGCAAACTGAGTTGGTAGGTTAATATCAGCATCCGCAAAATTTATTTGCCCGTGTTACTGCCTCCTGAGTCTCCCAGTCCTGCGGTTAAGATTGACATCAGCAAAACTGGAAGGTCGCAGGGGGAGAAAAGGTGGGGCCAAGGGAGGTGGTGAACATGCACCAATCCCAGAGTCAAAATGTTCCCTTTTAAAGCAGAGATTAAACGGTTAGCCTGAGTTGTGCTTTACTTCATCGATCTTGCTGTAGCCAATTCTTCCCTTCAGGAAATAGGTACGGTGCAGTGTTCAATCCTCGGAGCCGGGAAAAACCTTAGGTACCATGTCACCCTGTTGTGTCATTTCCTTGCTGAAGAAACTAAAACTGAAGCAGGTGTAGTGACTAACCCAAGGTCATAACTAGGACTGCAGCTTTGATCGCCGTTGTCTCATTGACCTCTGGACGGTGGAAGTCACACTGTGTTTATACAGTGCTTCTTAAATACCTCCTTTCTAGAATAAAAAATATATATGGCTCTAAAGGGGGGAATGGGTGAGGATGAATGGGTGGGAATGTCACCCCTGTGCCAGGGCTGTAACTGCTGGGGGCCTCAGGCTGCTGGAGTCCACCTGCTCTTGCCCCCTGCCACTTGAAACTTCTTTTTTGTATTGCCGAAAGGAAGTCAGGAAGGTCCTTGCTTACCGCAGGGACAGCAGCTTGGAGCTGATTGGGGTGGGGGATAAATGCTCCCTTGTTCACTGAGCCTCTCCAGCCAGCCCTGCTTTGCCTTGCTCTTTGCCAGGAGTGGAGGGTGGGGGACAGTCCTTCCCAGAGCTTAGGTTCCCTGAAGCCGTAGTTTTCATTGGGAGAGGAGCTTTTTGGTCTCAGAAATATGTGCACAGGTGCCATTTCTTCCTTGGGTTTGGTCAGTGCAAATCTCTTGGGGATTTGGGGCAAGTTAGAGATGAACTCTGTTCTCATTGGGAACAATTCCAGATCCTTCAGCTTTTATGATTCTGGGCCAGGCAGACTGAGTTTGGTTCAGCTGAAGGGTGCAGAACTAGCCACAGAACTCATAATGAGACATTCCTGGTGGATGGGCAAGACTGTGGCTACTTTCTGAAATCCTTGTTCTTTGTTGCCCTGAGGTTAATGAAAAGTGGTATTAACCTAAATCTTTAAGGATCTGAGTCAGATGGAAGAACTTTCTGATATAAGATTTCTCCTGCAAGTTCCATCTGGTACAGACTCTTCAGTCACAGGAATCAGTGCCTGCAGGGGTCTGGGTCTGCTTGGAACTCTGGTGTAGCTCACATGTCTTTGGAGTGACCTTTCTAGCAAGGATGACCGATTGCTTGTTTCTCCTGGGATGGACCCAGTTATGTGAGTGCTCCCTTCACTCTCAAAAGTGTCTGGTTATAGTCATTGTACCTCTCACTGTATGTCAAGTTCCACTTCATAATCCCCTCTCAAATTCCTCCTGCAATACTGGGGCTTGAACTCGGTGAGCCATGAGCCACACCAATAGCCCCCAAGCTCCTTTTAAAATCTTTTCTTTTTTTTGAGACAAGGTCTTACTAAGTCCCCTAGACTGGCCTGGAACATGTCATCCTTCTGCCTTGGCCTTCTGAGTGGCTGAGATTACAGGTAGGAGCCATCAGATCCAGGTTTCCTTCAGCTTTTAACGGTGGTGTTTTCTGAATGGAGCTCTGAGAATAGAGAGCAGGTGGGGAATAAGATTTTTATCCCTGTTTCAGGCAGCTCAGAAGTTAAGGAGGAGATGAAGCAGATGCAGATGCAGGCGTGTAAATGTACCTTGTGGGAACAGTGAACTTGGATGCAGCACACAGCAGTACATTAGTGGGCTGTGTGACAGGAGGGACTCCAGGGATGGAGTGATAAAGGGCACAGGCGTTCTGCAGCTTCGTGACTTCTGCTCTAGCTAGAAGTGAGAGGTGAGTGGGAGGCCACCAGCTTCAGTGATAGGAAAAAGAATGGAAAGGATGGCTTTCGCAAGGTTTATTTGCATCTGCGATAGAGCCTGCATTGGCATCGCTAGCCACTCTTTTTCCTGTGCCCTGCTAACTTGTGGGTCAACTAGAAAAATCTCTAGCAGTGGAAGACTGGCTTCTGACACGATTTCTGAGAGGTAATGTTCGTAATAATGGACATCTATAGCAGGTAGGCCTTTCCTTTAAAAGGCCAAGTTCAAGAAGAGGAGCTCCATAGATGCTACTACTGTGATTTCTTCCTGATTTCATGTCGGCTCCCTGCCACTGTGTCTTCATACTTGCTTTGTCCTTACCACCCCCCACTCTTTCCTTGGCCTGAGAACCCCGGATCCGTTCTTCAGCGTCACCCTTGGTATTGCCAGGGTCCAGTGGAAAGAGTTCTTTGAGCTTGATTCCAGTTCTGACCGCCCCGCGTTATACTTGCTTCACTGCCCTGTGCACTCCTGGAGGGCGTAAATCTAGCCCTTTTCGGTGTTTCCTGGCACCGAGAGGCCCTTAATGAGTATTTGTGAACCAACTGCACACACGGAAGAAAAAAAGCCTGAGGGGTAGGCAGCACATTCAAGTTATATAAAAGGTATTTTTATAAAGAGGACCGTGGTGAGCACACAAATGGATGTTGAAAGGAGTTGGCTGGCTCAGTGGTGAGGGTGCAGATGACCTGGCCCCTGGGTGGTGCAGCCAGATTTTCTGGTGCTATCTGGGAGTTATTTGAATGAAGAATGAGGATTTATTTTACAGAATCATCCCTCTCAGGACTATCATATTGGTATGTCCTAATGGTATTGTTTTTGGGGAAAAATCGTTTGGAATGAAGTGCAAAGCCTAACAGGATTTACAGGTTTATTTTGTTTCCAACAAGCTCTCTTTTCATAATTCTTGCATTTTAGAGGCCAGGGAGTATTCAGTATCCTGATTTGAGACTGAAAATCAAGTGTCTGTTACAGTACAAGGCCCAGAGACAAAGGCTGTCCTTTGGGGGCAGAGCACTGTTTGGCTTTAGAACTCTTCTGTGTGGATTCTTGCATGATACACTGACTTGGGAAAAAATTGGTTAGTTGATTCCGAAGTTAGAATGTTTGATATGTGTGATTCCAAGTGAAGATGAGGAGGCAAAGCATTTGCTGTTTTAACTTGGCTTCTGTGTAGGTAAAGACTTGCTTGGCATCTTAGGTTGGCTCAGGAAGGGTGGGAAAAACTTGCTGGTTGCACTCAGCTTCTCTTCCTGAGTTTTGTTCCTGTCTGGCTGCTGTTTGGTGCCTCAGTAGTTCGCATGTCTTGAGCCTGGAGACTGGGGACTTTGAATGGTGGAAGGAATGAAGAAAAGGAATCCTTAGAGGAGCGAGATTGAGAATCAAAGGAAAAATAGAACTTCTACAAGAAGGAAAGGGACTAAGGGGTGGAGGGCAGGGGAAGGAGGGAAGAGGAGAGTAGGGAAAGGCATAAAAATAAAAAAGAATTAAGATGTGTTATGTACATGGGCCAACTCCCCACAATGAGTGTAAGCATTATGTCCTGCAAGCATGCAATAATATAAATAAATAGAAAATTAAAGGATGAACCATCCAATATTTTTACTTGACCTTCAGGAGGTAATGTACAAAATTTGTGAGGAGTCTGTAGTGACAAATACATTTCCCTTCCTTTCATGTCCTTATTCATCACCATTGTTAGCAGATTTCTGTATACCTTTCCAGAAATACTGTATGTGTATATAACATGTATGTACATAAAAATTCAAGCTTGATAGACAAACGTCTGTGTTACCTGAGCCTCTGGTGTTATGCGTAATGAGATTAACGTTAGCTCTAAAATACATTTGTGGCATGGCAGGGAATAGTCAGGATGTTACCTGAAGTGTCACAGTATAAAATGGATGGCTACCTTTCTCCAGGCAAGGTGAAAGAAATCTCTCGAATCTCTCCCGGTGAGTGAGCAGGGCAGCATTATGAAGTCCACTCATCCATACAGATGTAAAGCCCGGGTCTGTGAGAACATCAGAAGAGAGAGAGATCCTAGATATGAGCTTTAACTCGTGTTCTTTTTGAGAGTGTTTTCATTATATTCTGTAAAATGAAGTTAATGGTATGCTTAATAAATTGCTTTTGAGAATTGGGATCCACAAGGTAGAGCCTAACAACAATGAAAATCTTCTTGTTCTGCCTTTTTTTTTTGGTACCAGGGATCGAACTCATGACCTTGTGCTTGCCAAGCAGGTGCATATGA